GCACAAACAGCATCCAGCCCCCTCTGGGCCCCCAGAGCCGAGGCACGGCCTCTCAGCTCAGACACCCATCCCAGGAACTCTTCATATTTTTAATGGAAACCACTTGCAAGAAAAGGCTTAGACGATGTCTCCATTTCCCCGTGATCTGCGTATCCGCCTACGTCCCTGCCAGACAGTAATCCCTGCTCCCGTTCAAGCAGCCCGGCAGAGCAGACAGTCGGCGCAAAGCGATACCTGCTGAAGGCTGCAGGGCCTGTTGGTTGGCAACGAGGGATGTTTTACAGGCGGCACGTGGCGCGCACACCCCATGCCCCTGGGCTGGCATTAGCCCGGGCAGCTCATCTGGAGGGCGGCCAGAGGCCACCCTCTCCTGGGCTCTGTAAGAGCGAGTGCCTTGCAGGTGCCGCGTATCTGACTACGAAAACGAGAACAGCTTGGCGTTCTTCCGCGTTGCATGTAGTCGCTATAGGAGATGGTGTTGGGAGGACGGGACTCACTGGTGGGGATTGGCAGGGAAGGTGAACCCAGTTACGACCGCAAAGCCAACCCCACGGTGCTTCCCCTTCTCCTTGAGTCTGTTCACAAATTCGGAACGGCAGACCCCGCCCACAGGGCTGAACGGGGAGACAGGACTCGCATCTTACGACAGAACAAAGTTAGAGTCCGGTGGGGGCACCTTTAAGACCGACAGAGTTTTATTCAAGGGGTGAGCTTTCGTGCGCATGCACACTTTGTCAGTGTGCATTGTCTGGCGAAGTGTGCGTGCCCACGAAAGCTCACCCCTTGAATAAAACTTTGTCGGTCTCAGAGGTACCCCACTGGACTCTAACTTTGTTCTCTTGCTTCAGACCAATACGGCTGCCCGCCTTGATGTAACTTAGGACGGTTAGTTTCAAGTCTCGAAAGTTCATGCTCTGAAAATCTCGGTCTCTAAGGTTCGACCAGACTCGAATCTTAAGTGTTCCACTGCAGACCCCGACAGGGCTACCCTCTGATCAGTGTTCCCTCTAAGCTGAGTTAGTGTGAGCTAGCTCACAGTTCTTTAGCCTCCAGCTCACACATTTTTGTCTTCGCTCAGGAAGGACGGGCTCCAGAGCAAACTGATTTATGCAGTATCAAAATGCCTCACTCACAACTTTAGTGCCAGCGGCTCACAAAGTAGAATTTTTGCTCACAAGACTCCACAGCTTAGAGGGAACATTGCCTCTGATATGATCAAGGAAGCACCAGAGCAGGGGTCACTGGGGGGAGTGTGTGTGGGGGTAGCTGTGATTAAGAGGCTACGAGAATTGGATTTGCTTCTGGAAATTCTATGGGTTGAAATAGGGGGGGCCAAAAGGAAACTTAACACTGGGAGTTTGTTATCGCCCACCAGATCAAAAGATAGAGGAGGATTATAAAATGATGAATGAATTAAAGATAGCAGCTAGACAAAAACACTGTGTTGTAATAGGTGATTTTAACTATCCACACATTGATTGGGTCAATATGTGTTCTAGTCGGGAAAAAGAGATTGAGTTTCTAGACACTCTAAATGACTGTGCTATGGAGCAGATGGTCACGGAACCTACCAGGGGAGAGGCGATCCTTGATTTGGTCCTAAGTAACACTCAAGACCTGGTGAGAGATGTAAAAGTGATTGCACCACTTGGGAACAGTGATCATAATGTTATTGAGTTCAACATCGGTACAAATAGGGAATTGGCCAAAAAGACTCACACAACCACTTTTAACTTTAAAAGGGGTAATTTTTCTGATATGAGGGGACATGTGGGGAGGAAACTGAAGGGAAAAGTAGAAAGGGTCAAAACCATTGGGGAAGCTTGGAAACTGTTTAAAACTACAATTCTAGAAGCTCAAATAAAATATATTCCGCAGGTTAGGAAAGGCACAAACAGGTATAAGAAAAAGCCTACATGGTTAACAAACAAAGTAATGGAAGCTGTAAAAGGTAAAAAGGATTCCTTTAAGCGGTGGAAAGCTAGTCACAGTGAGGCTGATAAAACAGAACACAGGCTATGGCAAATAAAATGCAAGTCTGTGGTCAGGCATGCAAAAAGGGAATATGAGGAGCATATAGCAAAAAATGTAAAGACCAACAATAAAACTTTCTTCAAATACATTAGAAACAGGAAACCAGCCAGGGAGGCAGTGGGGCCCTTGGATGACCAAGGGGTAAAAGGAGTACTGAAGGATGATAGGGAAATGGCTGAGAAGCTAAATGCATTTTTTGCCTCCGTCTTCACTGTGGAAGATGAGAGGTGCTTGCCCACTCCAGAGCCGCTGAGTTCGGGAGGGGTGTTGAAAGACCTGAGTCAGATTGAGGTGACGAGAGAGGAGGTCCTAAAACTGATAGACAACTTAAAAACTGATAAATCACCAGGCCCAGATGGCATACATCCGAGAGTTCTGAAAGAACTCAATTGTGAACTTGTGGATCTCCTGACAAAAATATGTAATCTCTCCTTAAAATCAGCCTCCATTCCTGAGGACTGGAAGGTAGCTAATGTCACTCCCATCTTTAAAAAGGGTTCCAGAGGAGATCCGGGAAATTACAGGCCTGTCAGTCTGACGTCGATACCGGGTAAATTGGTGGAAACCATTATTAAGGAAAGAATTAGTAGGCACATAGATGAACAAAACCTATTGAGGCAGACTCAACATGGGTTCTGTAAGGGAAGATCTTGTCTCACTAACCTGTTAATGTTCTTTGAGGGGGTGAACAAACATGTGGACAAGGGGGATCCAATAGATATTGTTTACCTTGACTTCCAGAAAGCTTTTGATAAAGTTCCTCATCAAAGGCTCCTAAGCAAGCTCAAAAATCATGGGATAAAAGGACAAGTCCTTTTATGGATCAAAAACTGGCTAATTAATAGAAAACAGAGAGTGAGTATAAATGGGCAGTTCTCCCAGTGGAGGGGTGTAAGCAGTGGGGTACCACAGGGATCAGTACTTGGTCCACTGCTTTTTAACTTGTTCATTAATGATTTGGAGTTGGGAGTAAGCAGTGAAGTGGCTAAATTTGCGGATGATACGAAGTTGTTCAGGGTGGTGAAAACCAGTGAGGATTGTGAGGCACTCCAAAGGGATCTGTCAAAGATGGGCGAGTGGGCGTCAACATGGCAAATGGGGTTCAATGTGGCCAAGTGCAAGGTGATGCACATTGGAGCCAAAAATCCTAACTATAAATACACGTTGATGGGGTCTGAACTGGCAGAGACAGATCAAGAGAGAGATCTTGGAGTTGTAGTAGATAACTCACTGAAAATGTCGAGACAGTGTGTGACTGCAATAAAGAAGGCCAATGCTATGCTGGGGATTATTAGGAAGGGTATTGTAAACAGATCAGCCAATATCATAATGCCGCTATATAAATCAATGGTGCGACCTCATCTGGAATACTGTGTGCAATTCTGGTCACCACACCTTAAAAAGGATATTATAGCTTTGGAAAAAGAGGACGTCCTTCTTCACCCAAAGAGTGATTAACACTTGGAATTCACTGCCACAGGAAGTGGTGGGTGCTACAAGCATGGATGGCTTCAAAAGGGAATTAGATAAGCATATGGAGCAGAGGTCCATCAGTGGCTATTAGCCACAAGGTATAGCTAGGGGCTCTGGGGCAAGTGATGCTCTGTCTTCTTGGTGCTTGGGGGGGGTCAACAGTGGGAGGGCTTCTAATGTCCTGGCCCCACTGCTGGACCTCCTGATGGCACTGGTATTTCTGGCCACTGTGTGACACAGAGTGTTGGACTGGATGGGCCTTTGGCCTGATCCAACATTGGCGTCTCTGATGTTCTGATGATGATGTTCAGATGCTGGTTTTCTGCCTCCGGGCATTTCTCCCTTGCTTTAATTAAGCTAATTACATTTCACATTGTACCTCTGCATCCTGAATCCCTCTTTGCAACCCCCCCCCCACCAGCTGACTAGGATAGAAGGTCTCAAAGATCTCCCTTCTGACTCATATCCGGTGAAGGGAGGTTGGACTCTTGGAAAAAACGTATACCCCGAGAATCATGTGGGTCTCGAAGGTAGTCTGTGGACCAACACGGCTACCCTCTGAAACGGTCTTTGAGCCTGTTACTCTGTTTAGTCTAACAGTTATCCAGTAAGTGCTCAAAAACCGTTGCCAACGCAGGGCCAATCAGTGTACTAGACAGCCAGAAAAGATGGCCTCATCAGCTGTGTTGTACGTGAGAAACAACGGCTCTTTCGGGCGCACACAAAATCCGCTGTGAGGCAGGCCCGTGGCTACCACGGGGCCCAGCCCCCTAGTGGTTTTTATGGGCCTCCCTCCATGAGCCTTGGCTCCCCCCCCCATTGCCTGTCGGCAGGAGGACGAGAGCAGCAGAAGCGGCGGCAGCGAGGTTGGGCTGAGAGATGCTTGCCGCCTGGCCCGCCAGCAGTGGGTAAGCCCAGGCAAGCAAGCGGGCGCATCGTCTGGCCCTGGCCAGGCACACCCGGCTGTGCTCCTGTGCGTCAATGCTCCCACATGGCGCCCCTTCGTGGCCAGCCCAGCCACCGCACGCCTCGCCTCTCCTGGCCCCGGAAGGAAGCCGAGGGTGGAGGTCAGGCTGCCCCTGGTGCACCGGTGTGGGAAGGGGACGGAGGGGGCCAGACGCTCCACAGGGAAGGGCTGCCCTTGCTGGGGGGGTGGGAAGCTGCCCCCCATTTAATTAGCTGACGCCCCCCTCTCAAAAAAGTCCCTCGCCACAGGGCTGCTGTGAGGACAACCAGAACCCTAGGCCGAGGGCTGGGGGATGGTTTCTGTCTGTGCTGAGACATTCCAACGCCCTCGCCTCTAAGCGAGCCACTCCCTTGCTCGGTCTGCTGTCAGGCTCATGAACCTCCCCACCTCTGATTACAGGAAACGGAGTGGCAGAACTGCACAGGAGACCAGGTTCCTGTTCGGCTTGAAAGAGCCTGTATTCCGGCTTCGTTTCCCACCCCCAGCCGACAACAGTAACCAACTTCCCCCCCCCCCTCCTCAACAGGCACAGAACAGCCCTGAAGCTGGCCAGGCAGAAGAGAAGCTCAATCCCGGGACGGAGGACGGTGAACACCCATCCGGAGCAGAACACCGCCCTCTGGTCACTGGCCCCGGAGAGGAGCACGCCACGAAACCCGAAAAGGCCTCTGACGCGCTCACAGCTGCGGAAACAAAGGAACCGGCTGGGTGGGGACACGGTCATTGTGCGGAGCCTGACCCCGCTGACTCCGGCTTGGCCGCTCCGGGGAAGTCACCGATATCGACGTTCCAGGAGTCAGAACTTGCTTTGGCGGCAGAGCAGAGAGCCACCGCCAGAGACCAGACACCACTTGACGGGGGTGAGCGGGCCGGAACAGGAGAGGAGGTGCGCTCAAACGCTACAAAGAGCGGCGGCCCACCCGCTCCTGCTCCGGTGTTACGGGAAAGAGACGCGAGAGACGGGAGCGTGCAGCTAATTAGCCACCACGCCACACACTGCGCCCTCACCTTTCAGAATCCTCTGTTGTACGAACTGGATTAAGTGGGTGCTGACGGGCTGCTGACGGGCCTTTTTGCCACTTCAGCACCCCCGCCCAACCCCATTTCCGCGCCACCTCCTTAAGCAAAGGGAAGACTCCAGAGAAACCTGATGGCAACAACAAGGGACTGAATGCGCTGAGAACATTTGGAGGGATTTCCCAAACTGATAGGGGACCTGTCTGTTTGGAAGACAACAAAGCAGCTCATTAAGGCCTGGCTGGTTTCCCTCGGAGCGCAACGTCTAGTTGAGCTGGGTAACCAGCAGCCTGTCGAGCATCTCTTGCGAAGGCCCCCCGCGGAAACCAATGGGACTTTCCCAAGAGCATGTGCTCTTGTGCAAGCCACATTGGGACACACACAGCTTGGGCTGGTCGCCTCTACAGAGCCTCTCTTTGCTCTTCCAGCTATCCTCACACATTTTGTAATACACGACCGAAGTCTTGGCTAGAGATGCAGGAGGGCCCGCCCCCCCCCCCCCCCCCCCAGCACTCTCCAGAGAGTAAGCAGGAGGTAAATATACCTCTGCGAGCCCTTTTTAATATTGCAAGCAAAAGGCAACTTTGCTTTCGGGGCTTCTGATGAGCTGCTTTCTACTCTGAACATTCCTCGAGGTGGGACTGACGGGTGGTTCTTCTCTAGTGCCACAGTCTTCCTCGTTACACGGGAATAAGTAGGGTCGGGATGGCCAACTCGCACAGTCGCTGGGAAGGTTTTGGGGGCAGCTAGGCCGTTCGACTTCACCAGGACTGATTTCAGAGCCAGCCCGATAGCGCTGCGATCTGATGCTCGATCAAGGGGACAGAGTCCCACCACAGCACAGAACAGCAGGCTAAACGGAGAAGCAAATGGTCCCGTTTCTTCTGGGGTCATCATTTGCTTCTCGTGAAGACCACCCCCACAATGCAGAGCAAGTCACGGCAGAGGCAAAAAGGGGCACTGGTGAGAAATGGCAGTCTTCATCCCATGCCTATCAGAAAAACCGAGAGAGCCCCATTTTTAACCACAGAAAACCAGCAGCCAAAGTGCCCAATTTAGACTCCCGTTCCTGGCCTCCTCCCTCCTCCTCCTCGTCCCCTCTAGGCCCCTTTTCACAGCTCACAGAAGTCTTACTTAAATTGTCTACTGGACCTGGGCGGCTTTTGGCTGCCTTTTGGATTGGCTTCCCCGTTAAATATCCCTTGCAGCCACAACTGCCAAACCATCTTTGCTTTGGGGATCGACACTGGCGACACCTTCCTGCCAGAGGGGAGACACACCGGGAAACCACAGTTAAGTCTGGTTCAAGGCCCAGTCCTAAAAATGGAAGACTTCTTCCCTGTTGCTCACTGTGGCCTCCAATAATTGCTTCTGTTCGGCTGGCTTCTACCCTTTTTCTTGGCCTTAAAGCCGCCCCCCTCCCTGGTTTCCTTCCCGCGAAGCCCGTGCGCACTCACAGTTGGCCACCTGCAGCTCACTACCGTCAAGTTGGAAGTTCCACACCGTTACTGTTTCTCAGATTCAAAAATTGGAGAGCTGATAGGAGCCCCACTCGCACTTTTCCCTCTCTTGTACCTTTGTATCGCCATCCGTAGAAGTCAGAAAAGCAAGACTCAGAAAAGCTGTGTTTGGGGGGGGGGGGGGGAGTTTGCCCATCCGGCCTTGAAGCCTTATTCGATAGTAGTAATTTTGGAATTCTGACATTTATCCTAGCAAATGCAGGGGGCCTCAAAAGCCACTGAACTTCGTACAGCCGGGTCGGTTTGCTATCCGATTGGAAGCCTCATACACAAAGCTAGGCGAGATTCTCTCGTTTCTTGTTAATGATACCTTAATTGTTCGACCACTGGAGCCGTTTTCTCTCCAGAGCATTTTCCATTAGAACCAAAAGCACAGCCCACGGGGGAAATTCTGTTGCACAAGCCCTGTTGGTGGGGCTTGAACAGGGGAACTTCCTTCATGACTGTGATCTAGGACTGAATACACAGTTTGATGAAATCTGTGCTCCTCTAGCAGGAAGCGTTTCCCAAGGGTACAGAAACATCAGAACATTTCAAGCCTCCCCACCCACACACAGATACTGAATAGGTTTGCAGCAAGGGTCTCCCCTTCTGCAGTGTACTTCCTTTGTATTATTTCAGCTTCTGAGTTCTGTATCCTTTCCTCTTCCAGGCCTGCTTTTAGTTGTTTGCTTAACTGAGCTGACTAATCTGAAAACCAAATTGTTTCCTTAACAGGAAGCCAAACGGTCACAATTGTTTTCAGCCCAGTCTCTGAAACGCTGTTATTAAATTGCTAAATAAAGTTTGCATCACTGCGACAAGCCATCGTTTCTCTTAAGCCTCTTCTTTTAATTCGTAATTATTTTTAATAAAATAAGGCAGATTTCCCCCTCGAAGCCATTAAAAGACCTGTATTACAAAAAAAAAAAAAAGGATTTATTTTGGCAGAAACGAAAAACAAAAAATTGCATCACTCTACATTAAAGTGAAACCGATTTCCTCCTCCTCCTCTTCCCATAGAAGCACATAGCCAATAAAACAGAATGCTTTCTGCAGATACTTAAGGTACCAAATCCCAAGCAAGCCTGTACAAGATTGTGGAAATACCGAACGATCCGGAGGGGGTCCCGATTATTCAAAGTCGATCAAGGGAAGCAAAAAGCGGGCCGATCGATCGAGGGCTGTCGTTTGCAAACTGAAGTTTGGGGTGGAGGTGGTGGTGGGGGCCCCAGTCATCTCTGGACATCTGCCACATCTGTCCTTTATCAAAAGTCTCACTTTTTTGTTTTTTTTAAAAAAGGAATATATATATATATATGTATCTTTTAAGGGGGGTAGTTTGAAAGTCTCAGAAGCACTTGGTTTCTTTTTCAAAAGGCCTGGCTGGACACCCCATTCTTTTCGCAGCAGCAGCAGCAGCAGTCCTCACTGGAGGCGTCGGTAGCTCTTGCAGAGCTCGTGGTCGCGGATGTCGCCCCAGCCGCCGTTCTTGACGTGGGGGCTGACGGGGGCGAGGGCGTAGCGCTTGCCGAGGCTCATCTGGGCGGGGAAGAGGTGCCGCCGGTTGGCGTCGAGGAGGGCGTCGAGCTGGGCGGCGCGGGCGGCGGGGCGGCAGGCCCGTCCGCGGTGGTGCATGCCGCAGTCGCCGGTGTGGAAGACGCGCGGGACCTCGGGGACGAGGACCTTCCAGAAGCGGGGCAGGCAGCGGACGGTGAGGTGCTGGAGGGTCCAGTCCCAGTTGTAGTCGTCGTAGGTGCAGAAGGCGTCGGCGCAGGCGAGGAGCTCCTCGTAGGCGTCGCGCCCGAAGGCCATGCCCATGTTGTGCTCGGTGGACTTCCAGGCCTTCAGCTCGGCCCGGTCGGCGCGGCCGGCGAACCCCCCGCGGAGGGCGGCGTAGGAGCCGAGCGAGAGGAGCTGGCAGTCGGGGCAGGCGCGGGCGCGGAGGCGCCAGAGGGCCTGGAGGGCGGCGTAGAAGTCGGGGGCCAGGTAGTGGTCCTCCTCGAGGAGGAGGAGGAGGGCGGGCGGGCGGCGGCGGAGGGCGCGCACCCGCTCCCAGACGAAGTGCAGCTTCCACCACCAGTGGTGCTTGGCCTGGGCGAAGGCGGCCTCGCGGTAGTGGCCGAAGGCGTCCGGGTAGCGCGCGTTGAGGCAGCCGCGCCGCAGGGCCGCCGCCCGGCCCAGGTCGCGCGGGCAGTCGCGCGGGTCGCTGCCCGGGAACTCGGCCGGGTAGAGCTGGCGGCTGAAGGGGAAGAAGACCTGGAGGACGGCGCAGAAGTCCACGCCCGCCGCCAGCGCGTTCAGCTCGGCCGACCAGACGTCGTGGCTCAGCACCAGCAGCACCTTCTCCGCCCCCGGCGCCCGCCGCAGCGAGGCCAGCAGCAGGCCCAGGTGCTCCGCCCGCTCGTGCACCTGCACCACCACCGCCACCGACGCCTCCTCCGGCCCCGCCGACGCCGCCTCCGTCCACAGCGCCTCCTGCCGCACCGGCTGGTCGAAGTTCAGGCGGTACACCAGCGAGCGCAGCCGCAGCGTCTCGTTCTCCGGCGCCGGCCAGACCCCCGCTGCCGCCCCCGCCCCCGCCGCC